CCGAAGTCAGAAAGTGTCTCAGACACTATCAAAGGGCAAGAGATGCTCATTTGAGATTTCTTTTTCCTCCAGGAAGAATCCAGTTTAAACAATTAATGGGGCTGGAGAGATGGCTCCTTCGGTTAGAGAACTCGTTGCCTTTGCAGTGGACCCAGGACCCACCATGGGGCTCACAGCCATCTGTAACTCCCAGTTCCAGGGAATCTGACAACCTCTTCTGGCCTCCACAGGCACTGTGTGCACATGGTGCGCAGACATATACACAGGCCAAATACCTGAACATATAAAAATAAATCTTAAATTTAAAAAAGTTTAGGAAAAAAATCCAAGTCTTTCTATTCCTTGGGGGTGAGAGGACTTTAATGAAACAAAACAGGCTGTCAACAGATATGCAATTTCTAGCTGATTCATAAGGCAGATTTTCATGCTGAAAATTTCCAAAGCCACCATTTAAAAGTGTGATGTGGTACAAGGGATGTATTAGTCAACCTGGGTGTTTTTAGTCTCTATATCACTGGGTCTTGGGATGTGGTTAAAAGAGAATTCTCCTTGATATTGCCAACACAGTGAGTTACTGAAGGTACCTTTCTCAGAATTGTGGAAATTCTGAGATGCCCTTTGATCATCTTTCATTCTAGGAATTTTGTAATCAAATCTTTATCCCTATAGAGTCAAAAGACAAGCGGTGTGGAAACCCATTAAGGTGATATGCTTGTCTAATTATCCCTTCTGGTAAGGGCTACTGCCCACATGCGAATTTCCCATCTTCAGCTTTGTTATTACTGCCTCACATGTAATCCTTCAGTTTCTCCACAGAGTTATAGCTATTGTTGCTGTCTCCATCATCAAAATAGACCCTTGAGAGATGGGGCTTTGCTAAGCATTGGGAATACTTAATAAAAGAGTCATGTAACCCATGCTTATGCTCCATTTAGCTTTGAGAACTGAAAAAAAAATTGATTCCATCCACTTATGTGTCAATTGGCCATGCTCTGAAAGAACAGCTTGTGTGCTCTACAGCTCCACCACTCTTTCTCCCAAGACAAGGATTCATGGGATCTTTTTCGTGTTCATGCATAGATGTGTGTGTTCATCTGGACATGTGTGCATATGAACGCGCTCCCACCCATGCGCGCCTCTGTGTGTGTGTGTGTGTGTGTGTGTGTGTGTGTGTGTGTGTGTGTGTGGGCCAAAAGTCAACTTTGGGTATTAATCCTCAGATGCCATTTGGAAGTTTAATTGTTGTTGTTTGGAAATGGGGTTTCATGTTGGCCTGGGGCTACATGGTTAGGCTACACTGGCTGGGCAGAGAGCTTCAGGAACCTGCCCATTTCTGCTTTCTCAGGGCTTGTATTAAAGGTATGACTACCCTGTCCTGCTTTTCTTTTTTTTTTTTTTTTCTTTTCATTTTTTCAATTTTTTGTATTATTTTATTTTGGGTATATGAGTGTTTTGTCTGAATGTTTGTAAGTGTACTGCATGACTAGCCAGTACCCTCAGAGGTCAGAAGTGGGCATTGGATCCTCTGGGACTGGAATTACAGATAGTTGAAGGTTCCCAGGTGGTGCTGGGAAGCAAACCTGGGTCCTCTGCAAGATCAACAAGTACTTTCAACTGCTGAGCCATCTTTCCAGCCCCCATACTCAGCTTTGATGTGGGCACTAGGGATCAGGACTGAGGTCACCAGACTTAGGCAGCAAGTACTTTACAAACTGAGCCATCTCCCTGGGCGTACACACACACTCAAAGTCCTTGAGAATTCTTGATACTTCTAGATACTTTTGTGTAATTTCTTGTGGAAATCATTCCTGTGGTAGTAATGAACACTAGGAACACAGGCCGCAGAAGAAGCAAAGACAAGACAAGACCTAAGAAGTCACAGCTTCCAGCAAATCTCTCTCGGCAAAAGGAGAAGGTTGATTTAGAGATCCTAAAATCCTCTTCCAGCTAAGTCATTCTATGTAAAGAATTCTGGAAATAAAAAAGTTTTGCACACACACAAAAATTTTATTGTGGGATACTTTTGGAAACAAGAAAAGTTCCCAACCAAAGACATGCCCAGTGCCAGATGGATTGAAAGGTCATCCAGTATCAACAGACTGAAATCTGGTAGCTCGGTTGCAGGTTATTTCCCACTCTCAAAAGGTACTGCCCTGCATTGCAGCACGGTTACTATTTTCGTATTGCTGAAGTTGTGGGTGTAGGGTAAAAACATCACTGTGTTTTGGTGAAGTCTTCCTATGTTCACTTTCTACGGTAATTTCTTCCCTCAAACGATGCCCCTGTCTTTCAAAAGAAATGTGGATCTCTGCTTCTGCTTCCAACAGCTACTGGATGAAGGCTCTAGGATGGCATATAAGATAGTCATCAATCTCATTATAGGGGAAGGTAGCCTCTCGACTATTGATTAGATTCTTAGTTGGGGTCATCTTTGTAGATCTTTGGACATTTCCCTAGTGCCAGGTTTCTCTTTAAACCTATAATGGCTGCCTCTATTATGGTATCTCTTTTCTTGCTCTCCTCTGTTCTTCCCCCAACTCAATCTTCCTGATCCCTCATGTCCTCCTCCCCTTCCTATTCTCCCTTTCTCTTTCTCCTAACTCCCTCTTCCCCCACCCCATTATTCCAATTAGCTCAGGAGATCTTGTCCCTTGCCCCTTCTCCAGGGGACAATGTGTGTCTTTCTTAGGGTCCTCCTTGTTTCCTAGCTTCTCTGGAGGAATCCAGTTGTAGAGAGAGAGGAGTAATGAGCAAAGGGGTCAAGACCAGGCTGGGGAAACCCACAGAAATAGCTGACATGAACAAGAGGGAGCTCATGGAGCTCAGACTGACAGGTGGGAAACCAGCATAGGATCGAACTAGGCCCCCTGAACATGGATGTCAGGAGGCTTAGGCACTCTAGCAGTGGAAGAGTATTTATCCCTAGTGTACAAATGGACTTGGGGTGCCCATTCCCCATAGAGGGATACTCTCTCAGCTTAGACACACAGGGGAGGGCCTATTCCTGCCCCAAATGATGTGACAGACTTTGATGATTCCCCATGAAAGGTCTCTCTCTCCCTGGGGAGCAGAAGGAGAATGGAATGGGGGGGTCGGTGGGGGGCATGGAAGGATGGGATGGAAAGGGAACTGGGATTGATATGTAAAATAAGATTGCTTCTAATTAAAAAAAAAAAGGCATGGTTAGGAGAGCAGACAAAGGGGGAAAAAAGGAGTGTGGAGCTATCTCTCTCTTCTCTTTATCTTGAGCCATGAAAAAAGAGCACCTTCGTTCAATACATTACTTCAAAAAGGTTATAAACCCCAAGGCTGAGATGCTTCAGTGGTTACGAGCACATGCCGCTTCTGATGAGTCTGGTAACTCGTACCCATGCTGGGAATCTCACAGCTGCCTGTTTGGATCCAGTGGCATCTTCTGGCCTGCATGTATATATAGACCCACACATAAATAAAAATAACTCTCTAAAAATTGTTAAAAAAAAAACCTTTCACACATGAATGGGTTTCAAATAAAGTCTGGGCTAGAACCCAGGCATCTTGAATACTGGCCCAATATTTCTTGTACATCTTTATTCTGAGTCTCAGAAGTGATATCCCCTTTCTCCATCCATCCATCCATCCATCCATCCATCCATCCATGCATTAGGATTATAGGAACGAGAAAAGATACAGCCCCTTTTCCTTCAAAAGGGGAGATTAAATATCTGCTGAGTGGTTCCTATCTTGAAGACTGCCGAGGGAAAGCCAACATCTGCCAGTGAGTCAACATTCCATTCCTCTACCAATTCCCTGCCATGTTTTCAGGGAAGTCACCCATTTGCAGGGAAAACAATAATTAAGTCATCCCTGGAAATTTTAGATATTTTCTACTTTACTGTTACTCAGTTTTTGGTTATTTAATTTTATGGTCATCTTGGGATTTGCCTTCATCAGTAGGAAAACACAGGTCTCACTGGGGACTGTCTGAGGAACAGTGTTTCCCAATACCAGCTGCATATTAGAATGTGCACCTGGGATCTCGTAAAAGTGACAACTAGGACTTCTTAAGACCAGTGAAGTCAGACTCTCTGGGGAGAAAAACCAGACACACTGGTGATATTGTTTTTTTATGTCTCTCTCAACAACAGAGAGGATTGAAATTCAACTAACACTTAAGAAAAGTAAAATAATGGCCCAGCCAGGCATGGTGTATACACCTATAATCCCACCCTTGGGAGATTGGTGCGGAATTGTGAGTTTGAAGCCAGCCCAAAGCTCTGCAGTGAGACAGTTTTAAAAAGCACAAACCCCAAGAAGAGGAAGAGGATGGGGGGTGGGGGAAGGAGAGGGAAGAGGGGGAAGAGAAATAGATATGATTCTTGTGTGGTCTAATTTCATTATTTCTCATAACAGAGAATAGAGGAGACCTTCCCACACTTTACAAGACACCTGGAGATTTTGTTCCAAAGTGCTCTGGGTAGGGATTTAGTTGCTTGAGATTCTATTTCAAACAGGCTCCAGCACTGTGTTGTCAGTGCACAGGCCCTGTTCTGAGTAGCAGGCTATCATGTATCAGGAGAAATGTACACTACCTACCCACACAGAATTAAAACAGGAAGCAACTCCAGAGAAGATTGAACATTGATCAAATGTTGCAAGGTCTGTATAACACAGCCTATGAATGCTGTAAGTGGTTAGAATTTGGAGAGCATAATGCTGCCTGGATAATTAAAGAAGACCCTCAGAGAAGTGCTTTTGGAGAACCTAGCTCAGAAGGGTGCTTAGGAATAACAGATGTTAGAAGACAGCATTTTATATGGTTTTGCTGAAGCTGTACCCATGCATGGTCAACTGAAGACTGAGGAGCTGAACAGAGCAACCAAACTGATGAACTATACCTGTCAGGTTCATGTGTATATATTCAAAGAAGTATATGTATGCATTCAGACGTGTATCTGAACAAATTGAGGCTCAAGTGAGCTCTAGGCTGATGGGAAACCGGATCTTAAAAGAACGGGTTGATGGCTCCCAAGGAATGGCACCTGGGGTTGACCTCAGGCCTCCACACGCAAAGGCATGACAGAAAAACACTCATGGATGTGTGCACCAGTAATAGCAGTAGTAGTAGCAGCAGCAGCAGCAGCAGTAGCAGCAGCAGCGGTAGCAGTAGTAGTACTTTTGCTCAGACAAAACACTTTCCATGCTCCCTATCCTATTTTAATCCTCCAGTGTCTACAGGTGTTAGTTGTCTCTAGTAGATTTCTTTGACATGATGGATTACTGACCAGCATTGCCAGTATCACATGATATCCCTGGATGTGGTCAAAGAAGTTTTGAATCTCCTGGCCCTCCATCTGTGTTTTTAACTCTAACCCAGCCCTGTCAACCTCATACCACAAGGCCAGAATGTCAGGGCTTCTAACTTGACAGCCTACTCCATCCCGCCAGTTCACTAGGCTTCGGCCAGCTGCTTTCAAGGCAGTAGCAGGCATCCTGCATGCAGGAGGCTTAGGCTTGCATGACTGGACTGCCAGAAGTAAAAGGTTTCACCCAAAAGAAGCAGCATCTTCTTTCTTTCTTTAAAAATTTAAAAGATTTTTATTTTCTGTGTATGGGTGTTTGGCCTGCATGTGTGTATGTGCACTATGGACATACTTAGTGCCCAAGGAGGCCAGAATAAGGCATTAGATGTCCTGAAACTGGAATTATGAAAGGTTGTGAACCACTATGTGGGTATGGGGAACCAAATCTGGGTCCTCCTCAAGAGCAACAAGTGCTCTTTACTGCTGAACCATCTCTCCAGCCCTAGAAGAAGCATTTTAAACAGTGATAACAAGAGCTTACGTTCACAGTCTCTGTGTAGTTTTTTCAGGTGTTGTGTTAAATCAGTATCTCTTGGGTCAATTTTCAAAATAAGGTAGTTCTGCCAGGCCCTGGGCCTTTAAGCTCAGCACTTGGGAATCCAAGACAGCCGATCTCAAGTCTCTTCTACATAGAGCAGTGGTTCTCAACCTCCCTAATGCTGCAACCCTTTAACACAATTCCTCATGTTGTGGTGACTCACAACCTTAAAATTACTTTCATTGCTATTTCATAACAGTAATTTTATTATCATTATGAGATGTAATGTAAATATCTCTGTTTTCTGATGGTCTTAGGTGACACACAACCCACAAGTTGAGAACCACTGCAATAGAGAGTTCTAAGCTAGTCAGGGCTACATGGTGAGCACCTAACTCTAAAAAAAAAAAAAAAAAAGTAGTTCTTATTATCTCCTTTTTATACTTGATAAACGGAATCTTGGATCAGTTAAAACAGTAGTGGATGTAACACAACAAAGAAGGTTCTAGAATTTGAGTTTTCGGTACCTCTGCCCACCACCTACCTTACACAACAGCCCCACAGTCTACCAGAATGGCCTACCTGTTGAATCTCGTGTATTTCATGTGTGTGTGTGTGTGTGTGTGTGTGTGTGTGTGTGTATTTCTTGTGTGTATGTGTGTACACATGCATGTATATACATACGTGTGTGGAGATCAGAGGTAAGCATTCTATCTTCTTTTGTCTTTCCACTTTTTTTTTTTTTTTTTTTTTTGAGACAGGGTCTCTCACTGAACCTGGAGCTCACCTATTCAGCTAGACCATCTGGTGAGAAATTCCCAGTGATCCTCCTGCCTCCCCCAGCCCCACTGCTGGGCTCCCACAGGTATCACCATGCTTATATGTTTACATGGGTAGTAGGAATCCAAACCCGGGTACTCATGCTTTCAGAGCACTTTAATACCCAGCATTAACTCAGCCTCTCTTTTCTTCCTGAAACATGGTCTTGTGTAGCCCAGGCTGGCTTAGAAATTCACGTTGTCACTAAGGCTGGCCTCAAATCCTGATCCCTCTAGGTGTTTGGATTACAAATGCATGCCACTGTATCTCAGTGTGGTAGAAGCTCCTCAGGACCCATCTGGCCCTTCGAACCCATACTCTCTGGATCCTTCTGTTTCCTTTGCAGCTTTTTCTACCTGTTTTCCTTTTGCTACCTTCAGAGCAGCCTGGGGTGTTTTCCTTGCATCTGACTATACTTCACAGAAAGCACTGTAGCCGAGTCTACCTCAGAAGCCCACAAAACAGAGGAAATTCTGAGCACCTCTGGGCATGAGTCACCACGCCTTTGTTCAGGAATTGCCATCTCTGCCCACAGAATCACCCACAGTTTTCTGTTTGGGACTAAAATAGATACCTCCTTCAGAAACTGTGTGTGTGTGTGTGTGTGTGTGTGTGTGTGTGTGTGTGTGTGTGTGTGCGCACGCGCGCGCGCGCGCGCGCTCTAAGTAATAAAAAACAAAAAGCAAAGATGGTATGTGCCTCCAAGGTCAGACAGAGAAGTTGCTGTACAGGTAGATGGGACAGGTAGAAGGAACAGAGTGACAAGGAACATACTATTCTTGTGGCTGGACTTCTGGTTATTTCTATGTCTATTGCATTGTACAGTCATTTATTCACTAATTAATTCACCATTTATTGAGCAACTATTGTGTGTTAGTCACAAGGTTAGAGAGGCATATATGAGTAATACCCAACCAACTCTTAGCCTCCAGGAGCTTACTGCTTATGAGGAGAGAAATACTGCTGGGACTCTCGGCACCCAAGTCAAGGGCCGAGATTTAGCTACAAACACAGAGCTAATATACACACAGGCCAATGTCCATTACTGCTGCAAGCCCAACACACTGTTAGCCAGTAACTGTCTTACATTACACTGACATTTAGAACAGAAAGAAGGGCTGAGAGCATTGCTTTGTCAGCATACATTGTTGGAATTATTAGCAGCCAACACTTTGCATTTTGAATTTAGAACAGTTTGGGCACTTTGACTCAAGAGATTCCTTGTAGAAACATTTGAGGCAGTACATGTTTGGAGTCCTTTAGGAATAAGACTGTTTCCACAGCCTCATAAATCTTAGATGCACCAACTGCCACATATCTGAGTGCATTTGGAGTTCCCTCCAGTCCTTAACACCTATGGTCTTTTCAAGGAAGGAAGGAAAAAGGGGGAGAAGGGAGGGAAAGGAGAGGGAGAGAAGGAGGGAGGGAAGGAGGAAGGGAGGGAGACAGGGAGGGAAGGAGGGATGGAAGAAGGGAAGGAGGAAGGGAGGGGACTTTAATAACCCAAATCATATTGTCAGTGAGTTTCCCTTCCCTTCCTTCCTCCCTCACCACCATCTCCTCCCCCCCTCCCTTCTCTTTCTCCTTTTGTGGTGGCAAGGACCTAACCCAGGACCTTACACATGCTAAGCTAGTTAGCTACTTTGCCACTGAGAATATCTTGAGCTCTTGTTTTTTGGGACAGGCTCAGGCTGATCTTGAACTTTGTACACAGCCTAGGCTGGCCTTAAACTCATTGTCTTCCTCCCTCAGCATGTCCCAAGTGCTGGGATTACAAAGGAGATCATCACACTGGACTTTTGTTTTTCGTGATGTCGAGGATTGAAGCCAGGGCTTCATTGATGCTAGGCAAACACGTTCCCACTGAGCTGCGTCTCCAGGCTTCCATTACATTATAAAGCAAAGAACGGTGTTTCCTCAAAGATGTATTAAAAACTATAAGAATAGCATGTAGTAAATGAACATATGCAAACATATGATGCTATATGTAAACGAAATTAGTCTCAAAATCAAGCTGCCCCATGTCCCCAAGGAAAGGTCAGTTTATCATGTTGCTGGGCAATGGCAAACAAAAGGTTTCTAAAAGTTTTATTTAAATCCCCCAACATCTATGTTGACGTCAACCTCTTCCTGCCCAGCACCTTGAGAGTTTCCAGGGAGTTTTGGGGCCAGTGACTTGACACTGGGTTGCATGTTTGACACTTGCTGACTGTGGGCAGGCTGTGGTGGCTTTCCCCGCCAAGCCTGTAACTCAGCTGAGCATCAGCGTGGTATCTGCTTCCTGTCCTTGTGGTAGTGACACCTCTGTCTGCTCAGAGTCTGGTTTAGAGCAAAAAGAATCTTTGTAAAGAGAAAACTCCTTATTTAAAGGAAGGTAAAACAAACTTCTTAAGTCGTTTTAGAATAATAGGGCAATGTCCTCAGACTTTCCGATAGTACGGCTGAGGGGAGGCGCGTCCTGAGGGCTCTCGCTACTCAGTTTTTCACTTTGGTTTCCCTGTCTGGTACCAGCCAGTCCATCACTTTCCTTTTCTCACTGTTTCCTCTCTGGGGCAATTTTTAGGTACTGGTGCTGAGGAACTGTTGTCCAGAGTATGCCAGGCTCCAGAGGCATCTGGTCATAGTCTATCCCTCTCTTAGATAAAACAGTTGCAAGCATTGACAGCTAGGCTGTTTATCTGGAGAGCTCAGGAGGTGTGCCTGTCTGCACCTCCCCTAGCCCTCCAGTATGGGAATTTGAATGTGCTCAGCCATACCAGAGTCTATGGGATGCTGGGGAAACGAACTTATGCAGCAAAATCACGGAACCATCTCCCAGCTTTGGATTCATATATTTCAATACAAATTCATATTAAAATATACAGTGTAATGTAGGTTCTTATACAATGGTATTGGCAATGGTTGGAATAGTTGCTCCTGCCAAGCGGTAGTAGCGCAGGCCTTTAATCCCAACACGCGGAAGGCAGGCATTAAGTTTGAGGCCAGCCTGGTCTACAGAGTGAGTTCCAGGTCAGCCAGTGCTGTTACACAAAGAAACCCTGTCTCAAAACAAAATAAGTTAATTAATTATTACTAATTAATTGTTATTAATTAATTCTTTTTAATTAATTAAAAGAATAGCTGCTCCTGGGTGCCTCTTATTTTTCATGACTTTTTGTTTTGTTTTGTTTTCTGTTTCTCTTCTACATCGAAATTGCTATCCTGCACTATGTTTACTTCTCTGGCCCTTTCTTGTATTTTATTTATTTATTTATTTATTTATTTATTTATTTATTTATTTAGACAGGGCCTTGCTATGTATCCCTGGCTGACCTGGAACTCACTGTATAGATAGGCTAGCCTCGAACCCATGATAATCACATCCCTTTACCTCACAAGTAATGGGACTACAGATCAGGGGAAATCCCACAAATAATCCATTTGAAAATCTCCTCATCAATACAACTGAACTTCTCGGAAGGCGCTGTCTCTTTCCAGAAGACTGTGGGTGGGATTTACCA